TAGTATAGTATAGTATAGTATAGTATAGTATAGTATAGTATAGTATAGTATAGTATAGTATAGTACAGTACATAATTTGGCCTTGAACTGGGGGCAAACATTAAAACAGCTATATGTACTTTCATATAAAATAATACTCTATCCTGAAGCAATGTGGGCCAATAGTCTGATTTGGTATATAACAGATATTTGTTTAATGAATATACTTCATTAGCTATGAAAATGTGTACACATTCCTAGAGAGAACATTTTAATCAATACAATGTTGGGTTCAATGAAAAATCTTATATGGAAATAAAGGGAGAAATTCTCAAAATCCTTGAGAACTGCACCATATCATTAATTCTGAAGGAGGCAAATTATACCAAATAAAGCAGACCAAGTTAGGACTGGGAGTATGTATTGTTTTATGAGAATAACCAGTCCATGATTGCTTTCTATATGGACAATAAAATATATATTTCACTTCCCGTGTTAGGTATACAGGTAGTCAGGGGTGGGATTCAAATTTTTTAACAACCGGTTCTGTGGGCGTGGCTTAGTTGGTGGGTGTGGCTTGGTGGTCATGTGACTGGTTGGATGTGGTCAACTCAACATCACTCATGTCAAGGGGTGCTTCTCCTCATCTGGCCTCTCATGACAGTGGGGATGTTGCAATGGTCATATGTGTGAAAAATGGACATAAGTCACTTTTTTCAATGCCATTGTAACTTTGAATGGTCACTAAATGAACTGTTGTAAGTCAAGGATTACCTGTAGAACAATAAAAAAGCTTCTTTCCTTGAAAAAAGTTGTCCTAAATACCAATCATTAGATTAAAAATACCTGCAAGCCAGAGTTACAAATCAGGCAGGGTGCCAGAGCACCTTAAGGAATTAAGAGTTAAGATGCAGTGATAACTATCAGCAGCCAACTCTTGCTCATAAAGTGAAACCCTTTAGCAGAGAGGTCATTAAGCTCTCCAGAAAAAGCACACCCAGGAGAGCAATTCTTAGATCCATTTGTACCACTTAAAGATACCAGCTGGTCTCACTCATCTTACAAGATATCCTAAGGAAATCATCCAGATTTAAGGAAAGATCACATGCCCCTCAGAAAGACAGTAAAAAACTCAGTGCCAAGCTTGCATCCTGCCTCTTGGAATTACACCCCAAAAGGACAGTGCCAGATACCACTAAAGCAGTGAAGGAAGACCCCCTGCCCAGATAGAAAAAGAAACCATGAAGCAGGAAAAAATTCAAACACAATGCAAATAATTAAATAACAACAGTAGCTGTTGCTTGTTGAAGCTGAATAGGGAAAATTATCCTATCAAAAGGAGATTGCTTCTAACTACCGGTTCTCCAAACTGCTTAGAAAGTTAACAAGGGGTTTTATAGAACCAATCAGAACTGGTAGAATCCCACCCCTGCAGGTAGTCCTTGACATATGAACATAATGGAGACTTCCGATTATGATTCTAAGTTGCAACTGTTGTAAAGAAGATCATCATGTGACTGACCCAATGTTATGAACTTTTTTGTGGCAGTCAGAAAGCAGATATAGCAGTCATTAAATAAATCCATTGTTGCTATCAGTAGTTTTTGCCAAGTATACAAAATAGGATTAAATGAACGCAGGGCGTGCATTCATAGGAACTTCGTTTCTGGGTCCTATGTAGTTTGGGAAGAGATATGTTGTAAAATGGTTACTAAATGAACAACAGTAAGTCAAGCACTACATGTAACAATCATGGCCCATTAAAGTGTACTATAAGTCCATAAAAGGTCTGGTATCTATTAGTGCAGCACAGCAGTTCAAAGGCAAAAATGTCCTGCATCACACTTGGAATACAAATCCAGTACATTTCTACAACTCCTTAAAAGCAGCCACAACTTTTTCTAGCTTCAAATAGGTATTTTTCCACAGTTGCTGTATGATGCCATCCCAAATCCAAGCCTCCAAATTCAAAATGTTGCATTGGCCTACTTGATACTTCATCATTCCTTTTGTACTATCAGAATTGATTGTGCTCTAGTTTACTCATACATATTCAAACCAAGTGGTTTATAAGGGCTATTAATAAATCCTTTGAGAATTAGGGGGAAACTACTTAAAACCCTAGAACCATAGGGCTAGAAGGGACTTTGACGATCTTCTACCTAGTCCAACCTCCTGCTCAAAGCTGAAGGCCTTATATGGCTATCTAATCTTTTCTTGCAAACTTCTATTCCACTGATTCATTGTTCTGAAGGAGGACATTTCTCCTTATTTTCCAGTTTGGATCTCCCTTTAACAAGCTTCCACCCATTGCTTCTTGATGTGCCCCTCAAGTGCTTTGGAAAATAAATCCACCCCCCTTTTTAAGTTTGAATTTGGTTTAATATTAGGCATTTTCCCAGAAACAGCTAAAGACACGTACAGTATGAACTTAGGTTTATATAAAAGCAAAACAATTATACGTCAGATGATTGATTTAGTATCAATAACCAAATGCTCAGATCAATTTTTATAACAAAGTATAACTAATTTAAAATATCAGTTTATCAGACTTTGGTTCTAACCATGGAGACTACAACACATTTGAACTAAAGTCGATGTCAACTGCCAATCATCTGATTGCATCTATATTCAAAGCATTGAAACCTTTCTACCTGTAAGCAAGAGCTCCTGCAAAATGACTTTGAATGTAGGTATCCATAACTGGCCTAAAATGATGAAACTTGCTGTCCTGCAGCAAATTAATTATGTGAACCTAAGGAAAAAAAATTCATATTAGTTTATTTTAGCAAATTTCAAAAATCAAAACAAACACAAGGAATAATAAAATTTGCCTTACCAAACAGTCAAATACTTGGGAGCCATACTTTTGAGAATTTTCATCTAAAATCCCAAATAAAGTGTCTAGCGTATCTTGAAGAAACTAGGTGAAGGAAGACATATTTAAGAACTATATATTTTGGAAATGTTACTCATATTTTATCTCATTGAGAAAAATAAACAGTGCCAGTTATATTCACCTTCACTATTTCAGAACCATCAATTTCTTTCAGTTTCGAGAGGCAACCTGCAATTTTTTCGGGGTGAGCTCGCCATTTAAGAAGGTCAAGCATATCCCCTACAAAATAAAGTTTAGCAAAAAATACAAATGTAAGCAAACAATTTACTATATATACACATTAATTTTAGAAACAGCAAAAAGGAAAAGGTTATACAGTATATCTAAGTTTCCTTAAATCAAGCTCATGTTTTAAGCTGAAATCTGTATATGCTATCAAAAAGATTGTGGCACATGAAATTAACATTCATTTTATTCACTCACAAGTGAATAAAGAATTTAATGCATTTAACTTCTGAGTAGAGAAATAGAATTGCACTGTTCAACATGAAACAGCATTTTTGTTCCATTTATTTAAATCTGGGTCATGCATTATATTCGATGCCATATATTTAATAATATTCCTCAGAAGTCCTCATATTTCTCACTATATTTTATCATTTTGGGCAATAAACTGAAAAACACAGTAAGGGCATTTTTAAAAAATCTGACAGCATTGAATGGTAATTAAAAACAAACAAACCATAGATGTGCTACTTAAAATATTGTAACATTAAAACTGCTACATTTTTAATCTGCTTACAAACAGGTCAACCAATAATTTATTTGTGTTTTGAGCCAATCAATAGTTTATTAAGTATGTTTTGCATAAATATTGCTAATATTGAATTATAAAACATATTTGTAATACTGTACAATAAGCTTATCAATAATAATAATAATAATAATAATAATAATAATAATAATAATAATAATAATCTTATCCTGCAAATAAGCTTATCCATGAATAAGACAACCCTCAATTTTTTAACCAAAATATCTTGAAAAATGCACAAGCTGTGGATAAGCTTACTCAGTTCATGTATTTTCGTTTAAAATGTGAGGGTCTGCTTAACCCACATATAGGTTTATACATAAGTATACATGGGAAAGAGAAACACTAAGAAAATATTGCTGTTTATACCATGGACAAGTCCATTTGTGGATAAGTGGAACCTGATTTGGGGTATATTTTTTCACTTAAAATTCTTGGCTTATCAACAAGTATATATAGTATATCATAATAATAAGCTCATCTACTATATTGTATTATGCATTATACTTTACCATTCTGTGTGAGTTTTGTTGAACACAGAAAAGACGTAATCCAGAAAGATTCCTTAGTAGATTTTATTGCTTGGTGGTTGTTTGCAAGAAGATGCCCTTTTGAAAAGGGAAATTTGAGATAGCGACTAGAATCCCGAAGGCTTGTATTTTCTTCACACTGAGAGAACAATTACATTTTAACTCACTACATCTAATTAAATAAAATGCAGCACAGAACTGTCATCTAAAGCCATTAGAAAAACAATCTCCACTGCTAATCAACTGTATTTTTTAACATTTTCTTCCTATGTACTTTCTAGGTATCTTCTTTGTTTGCTGTGCTTTAGGATACTTAACCATTGATAATATTGTACCGTGTTTCTTCAACAATACGCCCCCCCAATAGGAAGACCCAGCATGTTTTCTAGGCATAAAATGAAATTAAGCCTCTCCCCCAAATTTAGACCTATTTTAAAACATGTGAAATGGGGGGGGAGGGTGGGGGGGAACTTGCCATTAGAAGCGCCCCGCAGGCAGCCACACCTCGCCACCAGCCGATCATGGCGGAGCGCTCCCTATCCCCACCAAGCGCCTTTGCTACAGACCCAGGTATGGTGCTGGTTGCAGGCCGGGTCATCAGGCGGGTGGATGTCAGCCTCGGCAGGGCACTTTAAATCGCGAGACCTTCAGCGCTCGCCACTGTGCTTCCTCCACCGCTGTTGCTTTCCCTTCATATTCCTCCACCGGCAGCATTTCAGCCGCTTCTTGGGTGGGGGAGCTGCTTCTGTAGCTTCCACGGTTCCTGCCGGCGCTGGCGAGAGAACAGTGGCAGTACCGGCGGGAACTGCGGAAGCTACAGAGGCGGCTCCCCCACCTGAGAAGTGGCTGAAACGCTGCCGGTGGAGGAATGTGAAGGGAAAGCAACAGCGGCGGAGGAAGCACAGCGGTGGGCACCGAAGGTCTCGTGATTTAAAGTGCCTTGCTGAGGCCGACATCCACACCACCGCCACCCGCCCGCTGACCCGGCCTGCAACTAACACCATACCAGAGTCTGCAGCAAAGGCGCTTAGTGGGGGTAGGGAGCCCTCGGTGCTCTGCCATGATTGGCCGTTACGAGCGGCTGGTGGCGAGGCATGGCTGCCCGCAGGGCGTTCTAGGTGAGGGTGCATGGAGGGGGGAGAAATTAATTCACCCCCAAAAAGATGGCTTAGCTGTTTTTGGGGGGCTCAAAAAAAAAATAAGACCCGGGCTTATTATATGAGAAACACGGTATATCTATATCCACTTCCTATGCTCTAAAATTTCCACATCCCGCATGTCCCAAGTTTGATACACAACTGATATTCATCTTTTTCCTCATGTGTGAGAGAGCTAAACTGATTTATGCCCATGTATGCAGGTGTAATATAAAGAACCAGCAACATAAGCTGGAAAAGATATGATGGTAGGAATATTACACAATGACAAATCTAGTATTCTTCTGACAGTTGAATCAATCTAGGATTTTTCTTTCTGAATAAGCTATTTTTTTCTGGCTTCTTTTTGAAAATACCTTGTGTACAATGAGCTCATGAATGCCATCTGGCAGGGTCCTTCCGTTTTCTTGCATCAGAGGGATGAAAGAAAAACCAAAAATCTTCTTCTCTCCCTTCTCTTTTGCTGAAACACACATACACATTAAAAATACACCATATTCTAAGCTACGAGTGAAAGTTCATAAATGAAAATAATATAAAATTGCACATATATTTGCAACTAAAGGCAATAATATAATTTATAAGTTATTATAATATATAATAAGCTATATAACAATTTGATTGTTATATAATCAGTCAAATGTGCAGATATATTAATTACACAATACAGTTAAAAGATGACCAATCTGATTTCTGTTGACTTCAATTAATTCAAGATTAGAACCAGACTGGTGAACCAGACTGGTGTAGCCAGCTGGAAGACCTTAGGCCAGTCACTCTTTATCTCATCCCTAGCAAGAAAAAGGTAAGGCAAACCAATTTTAAAAATCTTGCTACAAACACTGCATGCATTTGCCAAAGCTGGAAGGATATATATCCAGATCACACAATTATACCTATAATTTAATGAATAGCAATAGCACTTAGACTTATATACCACTTCATAATGCCTTACAGCCCTCTCTAAGTGGTTTACAAAGTCAGCATATTGCCCCCAATAATCTGGGTCCTCATTTTACTGACCTTGGAAGGATGGAAAACTGAGTCAACCTTGAGTCAGTGAGAATCGAACTGCTAAACCGCTGGCAGCCAGCAGTCAGAAGAATTAGCCTGCAATACTGCACTCTTCAGGATAACTTATTTTTATGTTAGAATACATAGGAAAAGCATGCTGCTATTAAGTTAAATATGTTAATAATTATATCCACATTTTTTCATTGAAAGATACATTAAAACTACAATAGCCAACTAGAAATTACTTCAAATTTAGCTATTAGATTCACTAAAATAATTAAATGATCCAAGCGGCTTAGGGGATTCTATACAAACCCTTGTGACTTTAGGAAATAAAAGAGATTGAAAAGGAAAAGAAACCACTCCCATCCACTAAAATCAAAATGATTTTTTTTTTTTAAGAAAAGAAGCCATAATCTTCCAACAACTCATTTTGTATAATCCTTTTGGCAACTTTTTTCTCTGTTCTGAATTAAACTGGCAAGAGATTCTAATCCAATATCAGCTACTCTTCCCTTTTTCTTTCAATCTACAACTAGCTGTAAGTGTGAACAGGTTGCCAAGCTTCCTTCATGTGATTGCCGGAAGAGACACAATGTTTTACAACAGATAGAAGCACTCTTTCCAAGGCCATTGTACCACCCAACGGTCATTAAACAACCAGTCGTAAGTTTGAGATTATCTATACATTTGCCTCTTGGATCATTAGTGTTTAAAAGCATAATTCATGTTCAGTTACAGGCAACCATACATTTATTTTTGTGGAATATTCTAATACAAAGCTGTTGTTTTCAGTGCATACTTGGGTTTTTTTTTTCATTGTGCTGCCCTATGAGAGCCTTTCCTCTACTAACTCTCATTTATAAGGTTGCCATTTAAGGTGGCAACCAGCAGGTGTGAAGAACATTTGGGTGAAAAATGTTGATTGTAATTTAAAATAACTACCACTTCTGAATAGGTCTTACTGGAACAGTGGCGGAATTCAAACCGAAGGTGTGCTCCCCTGAATTTATCCACTGGAATAGGTAGTTTCAGCAGTTCAGCCCACCTGGGACTGTTGTTATGATACAACACAAAAGAATGGAATTCAGAGGCTGGTGGCTCTCCACAGCCGAAGGAGATAAAATCCTTAAAAAGAAAGCATTTTAAAAAACCAAATTACTTCAGTTGTAAATCAATGGTCAGTATTCTGAAGGATCTACAGTAAACAGAACAAAACATTTCGTTTTCCATAGACTTTTGGAAGGCATAAGCAGGGGCAAAGACAGATAATGAGATAAATTTAATTTACATACTAGTAAGGGCAGGAAAAATGCTTATTGTTCATTCAGGAATAAAGCATGAGGAGAATCCTTTATCATTGTCCATGGTATTATCTCATTCATCAACCTACTGTGCCCAAATGTCTATGGAGATTCTCAGTCATCCAGGTCATGGTTGTCCCAAAGGTGCTTTTTTAAGAAGCAACTGGATTTTCTGTTTTTTTCTTTGAAGATGTTTTGCTTCAGCTGAAGAAGCTTCTTGGATGAGAAGCAAAATGTCTTCAAAGAAAAACCAGAAAGTCCAGTTGTCTCATGAAAAAGCATCTTTGGAACTATTATGCCCAATATTTCCTTTGGGCATGCGCATGTGTTATATTATTTTCAGTGTTTCTCATTTTTCTCAGTTTACGTTTATTTTGTCTTAACATCAGTCTGCAACTTTAATATTAGATTTATTACAACTTATTGCATTGCTATATTTTATATGCATTTTTATGCAAAGGAATTCTGTAAAAAAATATATCAAGTTTTCCAATAGTCATGGGGAAGAATATTCATTCATTCATTCATCATTCATTTGTTCATTCAATAAATATACATAACCACCCACCTTACCCATTCACTCTATTCTGGGTATTTCTCTGAAATTCACTATACCACAATAAGTCCTTTTTTATTGATTCAAAATATCAATAAGGCAAATAAAAGACAGCAAATCCTTTCGTGTGTGCATGAGGGAGAGTAATTTGACTAATATTCTCAACTGTGTGGAACAGTTACTTAATGTTTCATTTCAGATTTTATTTAAATACTATTCGTCTCTTTGAAAAAAATCCAGAGATAGGGAAAACATCTTGTGGGTGATAAAAGGCAAGCCTGGAAGAAATAATGCGATCATCTGAACCAGTTTTTGATTCTTTTGAAATAGTCCTCAACTGACAACAGTTCATTAAGTGAGAGTTTGAAGTTACAACAGCCCTGATAAAGTGACACGACTATTTTTCATAATTACAACCACTGCAGCACCCCCACAGTCACATGAATAAAATTGAAACACTTGGCAACTGTCTCATATTTATGATGGTTGCAGTGTCCAGGGGTCATGTGATTATCTTTTGCGACCTTCTGATAAGCGAAGTAAATGGGGACTCCAGATTCACTTAACAACTATGTTACTAACTTAACTCACTTTTAACTCTTTCATTTAGCAACAGAAATTTTGGGGTCAATTATGGTCATAAGTCAAGGACTACCTGCATTTATTACTCTTCAAAAATCCAGCTTGGGAGAATGTTGCTCTAATGCAGTGGTTGAATGTGTGCAGAATTAAACTGTGCCCTGTGGAAAATGGAATTCACTTTGGGTATGCGTGACGGATTTATGCACAAGTCCACTGAGTGAATATGATCACAGACTTCTTCGTTAGCTGATAAGACTGCCAGTTCCAAAGATGTCCCTGGATAATATGATGGCAATGAGGAAGGTCACTTTCAAGGTAACATATTTACATTCACTTGGTTTATAAGTTTGAAAGGATGATTTCTAACATTTTCAGAATCAGGTGATCAGGTCCCTTAGATGGGGACATTATATGAGAAGGGACTCCAGTAGCATGTATATCTTGATTTATGGGCATTCAGAGACAGATAATCCCTCAGAGTGTGTTGGGTTATAGATGATTGACTTGACTGGAAAAAAACCCAATACTTCAGGAACAGGGACCACCAGTTTAATTTACTTCCTCCTTCTCAAGGAAAAAGCATAGGTGATATCTTAAATTTGTCTGTCAATGTTCCATGGGAAGCTAAGATGATCTGGACAAAAACTACATTATTATCTATATTGCTATTTAAATCTCCAGGTATGTAAATATAACTTGTTTAGATCTGAGGTGAAATTATGTTCCCTGGGGAGACAGTCCACTCTAACTGATAAATCAATGGCAAGTGCGCTATCTCAGAATGCTAGTATCTTCTGGAACATGGGTGTCAAACTCGATCACGTCAGGCGACATATCGCAGCAGTTTTTGCCTTTGCGGAACCAGGGTGGCATGGCCTACACATGATGCATCCAGCCCACAGGCCGCCAGTTTGACACTCCTGTTCTGGAAACATCAACATATTTTCTGCCTCTTCACCTGCCTTTTCAACTAGTCAAATTTAAAAAAGGAAATGAAAACATTGAGCTACTTGTATTTTGAGGCCATCCTTTTGATATTCACCATCCAGATTGATGATTCTGTTCTCAGGACTGATTAGCTTAAAATGAACTTTAATCTCTCCAAGAAAAACTGATAGTACTGCCATACTAATTTAGCTACTTAAAATTCAGGATTGTTCTCCAATCCCTATTCTTTTTAGGCATTATGAAGGCAATTTAGTGCACTTAAAAGATTGTCAGCCAGTGGCACCCTTTCTATGGCTTTCTCAGCTAGGAATTGGTCACTGGGTTTCAAGATCTCCTTTTGTGCACTGGTCTACATTGAAGATAGAAGGAACAAAAAAACTCAAAAACTTAAACTTGGATCCTAGAAAGGCTATTTGTCTTACCTTTGGTGGCCAGAACAGCATTCTTTTTTTTCCCCATTGTTTTGACCAGAGCCTTGGGTAAAGCCCAAAATATCTATCATTTGTGAAAGCACTGAAGGCTAGTACTGAACTGGATGGTGTCTATGTTCCAAATAATGATCCAAAAATGTATGGCTGCCTAGGCAGATCTAGCCAAAAATTGTAATTAATTTAGGCCAGAATCAGCCATGAAGGCCTCATAATTGCCAGTTAGTTAATGCTCTGGAACAGTGGATTAAGACTGGGAATCATCAACTCTGTTTGATCATAGTATCACTCTTTAGACATTAGGGATTTGCTGTCATTCTTTTGCCATGTTAAAGAGAATGCCATTAAGTTTGTTACTAGGAAATATGAGTATATCAACTCCACTTGGAAATTAGGGAGATTTCTAGGATTTCCATCAATGGTTTGTATCTTGGATACAGCTTTCATTGGTTGCAACAGACAGATCCTCAGAATAGAATGTCTGTGCATCTTTCACTAAGAAGCTGATCATTGCAATTCAAGTTATTGGGAAGACTTCAGACAGACCCAGCAGCAGTTTAACAGATCCAGTCCAATATCAACATAATTCATGATCTTTCAGTTTCATTACATTAATTATGCAGACCTAACAACAGATTGTTTGAAACTAATGTAATGGTATGTCAGTACCTAATATATAGATTTCTCGTTAGCAGAATCAGCAGAGCTTAATTCAGACATTAAAAAATCCTACAATTAGTCATCTAGGAGCATAATTTCTGGGTTGTTCCTCATAAAAATTGTAATTTGAAATAGTATTTATAATTAAAAAGAAAAAGTTAAACAGAAATTACATTCAAAATTTGTCCACTGCAGTCCACAATGTACATTGTGACTTCCACATTTCTGGCCACACTTTTCCCTCCTTTTTCAAATTCTCCTCTTTCTATTGTGATATATAGATCATTTCTCATTTCACCTATAGGAGAAAAAATAAAACAAATCAACCAAAACAAAAATATCACTTCAGCGTATCTTTAAACATATAATGATGATGATGATGTTATAATAACAACAACAACAATAATAATATAAAAAACAAGTAATGACGAACAAGCTGAAGAAACTGCTAAAAAAACATAGAAAAAGACTACCTACCATTTGTGAAGTGCTTAGCAAAAGAGTGAAAGATTTGTTAACTGCCGTGAACAACATTTTAACTTACATCCCATCCAGCACACTATATGAAACCAACCAACTAATGTATAACACAGCCACTGTTATAACTGCAGAGCTGGGTTATAAAATGCCAAAAAAGAAACCACTGGAACACCAAAGTGGAAAATTTGACTTGAAAATAAAATAAAAAAACTACGAGGGGATGTCAGCAATTTAAAGTACTTGAAAGAAGGAAAACTAAAGAACAAAAAGCTGAAAAATAATTTACACAAAAAATACAACCTGGAGGAAAGAACAATAACTGAAATCATGGAAGAACTAAAACAACATGTAATAGCAAAGAAAATTGAAAGATACGAATGACAAATAAAACAATATCGTGAAAATGTCCAGTTCAGAAGAAATGGAACTTCTTCTACCAGTCCTTTGATGAAAATCGAGTCCAAACTAATGTTCACCCATGTAAAGAAAAAACTTTGAACTTTTGGAAAGAACTGTGAGAAAACCCAGTGGAATACAACAAAACTGCCTCCTGGATCAAAGATATTCAACAATGAACAACACAAAACAAAATGGAAAATATTGTAATAACAACTGACATGGTTGCAAAACAAGCAAAGAAGGTCAAGAACTGGAGTGCACCTGGCCTGGATAAACTGCATGGATACTGGCTAAAACACCTGACCAGCCTCCATCATCGCATGGCCACGCAATTTGATGAAATGCTTCAAAATGTAACAAGCGAAGAATGATTAACAGTTGGCCGAACATATTTGATCATGAAAGATCCAGAAAAGGGCACAGAACCAAGCAACTAGTTGTTTGCCACAACGTTCAAACTTTTTACAAGAATACTGGCAAATTCAATATTCAATGATCTGATAGAAAACAGCTTCTATCCAGTAAAACAAAAAGGAAATTATAAAAAACTGAGAGGAATAAAAGATCAGCTGCTCATTGACAAAATGGTACTAAAAAATGCAGGATGAAGAAAAATGAATTTTAATATGGCATGGATTGATTGCAAGAAGGCATTTGACTCACTACCCTACAGCTGGATTAATGCCTGTCTGGAAAACTTTGGAATCAGCAAAAAATATTTGTACATTTTTGAAAGCAAACATGCAAAAATGGAAAACAATTCTAATAACAAATGGGGAGAACACTCACTTTTGCCACTACTGTTCAACATTGCATTAATTCCACTGACAATAATCCTACAAAACACAAAACTGGGATACCAAATCTCAAACCAACATGGCAAGATAAACCAAGTACTATACACTTAAAACCGTATGCGAAAAGTCCCACAGAACTTGAATCAATACTCAACACAGTCCAACTGTTCAGCAGTGACATCAGAATGAACTTTGGACTTGAAAAATGTGCCATATTATCCATGCAGTGAGGAAAAATGGAAAAAATAAAAGGAATACAACTGGTTGATTGTTCTCACTGTCAGAAAATTTAAATTTATTTCAACACAATTTTATTTAAATCTTCAAAGTAGTCTTTTCCAAGCCTAATTGGAATTGTTTGAAACAAATATAAAATTCTGGGTAATATATTCATCTTGATTGTTGATATTCTCCCTATTAATGACAGTTGTAAATTTTCCCATTTCACCAAATCTAGCGCTATCTGCTGTTTAAGTTTGATATAATTATTCTCTTTTAGTGTACTGCATCTTGCTGTCAAATATATCCCCAAGTACTTGATCTTATTCGTAGCCTGAATTTTCAATAGGTCTACCAGTTCTTCCTTTTGTCTTGATAGCATATTCTTTGTCAAGATCTTTGTCTTATCTTTATTTATTTTCAAACCAGCCACCTTTCCATATGTCTCTATCTTTTCTATCAATTTTGATGCTGTTTCTAGTGGGTCTTCTAAGATGAAAACAAGATCATCTGCAAATGCTTGCAACTTAAATCCTTCCTTTTTAATTTTCATCCCTTTTATATTCTTTTCATCTCTAATATTTCTATTTAGCATTTCCAAAGTTAACACAAACAACAGAGGTGACAGTGGGCACCCTTGTCTTGTTCCTTTTCTTATATTGATAGAGTCTGTCAGTTCTCCCTCTATCATTACCTTTGCCATTTGATATATAGCTTCTATTGCTTGAATAAATTTTCTAGCAAAGCCCATCTGTTCCAGCAGTAATAACATGAATCGCCAATTCACATTATCAAATGTCTTCTGTGCATCTAGAAATATCAGAGCCATTTGTTTTTCAGGATGTGCCTCATATTATTCCAAAGTGTCCAAGATTACTCTCATATTGTCTTTAATTTGTCTCTTTGGCAGAAATCCATTTTGATCAGGATGAATAAAATTATTTAAATATTTTTTAAGTCTTTCTGCCAATAGTGAAGCAAAAATTTTATAATCTGCGTTTAGTAGGGAAATAGGTCTATAGTTCTTGATTTGTAATGGATCAGCGTCCTCTTTTGGAACAAGTGTGATATAAGCTTCTGACCATGATTTAGGTATCCTCTTCTTTAACATAACTTCATTCATAACTTCTAGCAATGGAAGATTCAATGATTCTTGTAATGTTTTGTAAAATTCTGCAGGAAGTCCATCTGGGCCTGGTGCCTTTCCATTATTTTGCTTCTTGAGTGCTTCAGTTAACTCCATCATCGTTATATTGCTTTCTAACATTGTTTCAATCTCTTCAGGTATCTGGGGTAAATTAGCATTCTGTAAATACTGTTTAACTCTTTCCTCATCAATATTCTCTTGTGTGTATAGTTTCCCATAATAGTCTCGAATTATTTCCTTCTTCTCCTTACTCCCATAGCAAACTTGGCCTTGGTCATCTATTAATTGCAATATTTTTCTTGATTCTTTCTCCTTTCTCAATTTATATGCTAACCATTTACCTGGTTTATTTGCATCTTCAAAGTAGTTCTGTTTAGCACCTCTAATTTTTTGTGCTAATTCTTCTTTTTCTATTAGACCCATTTTATGTTTGGTTATATCCATTTTTAACTTAATGTCCTTTTTCTGTGGCATTTTCTGTAGCTCTTTTTCAAGTCCTTTATACTTATCCTCTAATGCCTTAAAGGCTAATCTTTTCATGGTATTTCTTTTCCTTGTATAGTCTATTATCAAGCCTCTGGCATATGCCTTCATTGTATCCCATACATTCTGGATTGATGTATCTTCTTTTTTGTTTTCTCTAAAGAAAAAAGCCAGTTCTTTCTCCATCCACTGTATGAAGTCTTTTTCCTTTAAAATAGTATTATTTAACGTCCATCTAGATCTTCTTCTTTGTCCTTTCCATTTAATTGTCATTGGATTGTGATCTGCCCAAGTACTTGTTTCAATATTTATTTCTTGAATATTAGTTAACAATTCTCTTGACATCCATATCAATATCTATTCTGGACCATGATAAATGTTTATTTGAGTAGAAGGTGCATTGTTTGGTTTTAGCATTTCTTTCTCTCCATGTATCTTTTAAGTTTATTTCATCTACCATTTTAAAAAAAATATTTAGGGAGAGTCTTTCTGTTTTGCTTTATTGTTTTCTGTGCTGTATAGTCCAGTTTATTGTCTACAATTCCATTAAAATCTCCCATCATAACTATATTAGCATAGTCCAATTCAATTATTTTCATATGTAATTTTTTATAAAATTCTTCTTGATTGTCATTTGGGGCATAGATTGCAATCAGGAGTGTTTTCGTATTATTGTCCATTATTTCCATCATTAGTATTCTTCCGTCATCATCAGTATAAATCAATTTCGCTGGGATGGTCTCTTTAATATATAAAACCACTCCTCTTTTCTTACATTGTGTCAAGGAAGTAAATATTTTCTCTAATTTTGGCTGTATCAACAATTGTTCATATTGTTTTTTAATATGTACTTCTTATAGACAGATTATATCAAATTTTAATTTCTCTAATTTATGGAAGGTTTTCCTTCTTTTAATGGCTGAAATAAGTCCATTTATATTAATTGTAATCAAGTTTTTCTCTTCCATGGTTATATTTTGTAGTTAGGTTTGACAGCTCTCGTGGATCTTGGTTCACATTGTTCTTTGGCTTCCTCCTTTCCACCTACTGCACCTTCTTTTTTTTCAGTCGTCATTTGGAATTCAATTAGTGAAATTTCTTTTTCTGCCTTTTCTTCTTTCCCTCTGAAATATTCTGTGTAAAATGATTCAGCTTTCTCAATTGAGTCAATTCTATATCTCTGTTCTTGCCATGTGAACATTAAACCTTCCGGAATCAGCCATCTATAATTCACCTCTTTTTAAAGTAGCAATTTGGTCAAGAATCGGTATACTCTTCTCATCTCTCTCACTCTTCTGGGTACTTGTTTCAAGACCACAATCTCCTTATCTTTGTATTTCAATGTTTTCTCTCTTGCCATTTGCAATATTTGCGTTTTAATGGCTTTCTTTGTAAATCTGATGTGAACTTCTCTTGGTAAGCTATTTCTCATTGCATATCTTGTGAAGGCTTGTGCGGACGCTAAAAATACTGGACTGAAATCCACACGTGGTTGGAAAAAATGACAAAAAAACATATAGATTTGAAACCAGAGATATTTTTATTGGGAATTTTACCTGGAATATATAGTAAAGACTTGAAATATCTGATTGTAAATGTATTAACAGCGGCTAGGATTGTATTTGCTAAAAACTGGAAAAATGAGAAAATACCATCACAGGAGGAAATCATTAAGAAAATATTGGAATGTGCTGAAATGAGTAGATTGACATTTGAAATTAGAGAACAAGAGGATAAACAATTTTATAAAATTTGCGATCTATTCTATCAATG